TATAGAAATTGGCTTCTCACAGTTATATTTGAAGTTTTCTATTTAAGGAGCACTGTCACTTTAATAGACAGAAGTATACTGCTCCATCGATTCCCTGGGGTCTGCGGCTGAATATCCTGCAGCTGCTGGGACGGATAAGCGGAGGAATCTCCCAACCCCCTTTCTTCATATGTTTTTTTCACTGCGGACCCACGGCAAAATGGCGCTTCCGTTTGCGCGCATGCGCACTGCGGACTCCACGGGAAGATGGCCGCGGGTAACCGCGCATGCGCCCGTCTTCCCCTATATATTACACTGACGTCGGTCACGCCTCTGTACAGCCTCCCCCTATAGCACGAAAGGCCTAAGGAGGAGCTGTGCAGAGCGTGACGTCATTTCCTACCGCTGGAGCCACGAGGAGGCCCGGCGGCCATCTTTACTGGGGTCAGTAATGCTGTCTTCTACCTTTACACATATGCTGTGATGTGCATACTGCCCTATTGCTATGTTTGACTAATAAAATCACCTTAAGAACATACTACACTATCTCTGGCACCTGTTTTTTGGGGCTCCTTCTTGGAGCTGCTACTCCCACAGAAAGGGTGCCCTCACCAGCCAGAAGAGGGATCAACACTATCAATGTGATTAGCCTTAAGGGGACCTCTGGATCTGTCGTGTTGTTTCTGATGACCCACCGTGAATAGGACGCCCACCACTCGGCCTTCGATGGATCGGATACCTGGGATGATTATTCCTATATGCGCATAATCCATGCGTTTCTGGTGAGTGCGCATTGCTGTTATTTCGAGGCAGTACATACTTCGGAAGTATATTCACCTTATCAGACAATACTGCGGATATTGCATAGACTTTGTATATGTATATATATATTTTGTTTTGATCCTTCCAGTCTGTTTTTTCTCACTTCAAACTGACCACACTAGGTATGTAAGCACATCCTTCCCAGTGTGGTTAGTTTTCTTTGCATTCTACTTGGGAGCACAGCCTGCCTTTCCTTCAATGGTAAGACTTCTATTGACACCCCCCCCCCCCCCACATCCAGCATAGCTCATCATTAAGAAGATCAGTGTACTGCTGTTTCTCTTCCTCATGTTGTTTCTCTGCCCCCTGCTGACACGCCTCCTGCCAGGGCTGTAGATAAGGGGGTACCTGTACGGGGTCCTGGACAGCAGGGGTCCCAGGCAGCTGGGTGAATCGAACGTGGGCAGGGAGGGTGATCGGCACAGTGGGGCAGCAATTACTGAAACTGATCCCCCTGTTTGGCTCTTTCTGCAGCATCTGCAAGCTGGTTTCTTCTCCTCTTCCTCCCGCTGGTATTCAGCTGCAGCAGAGACAGCCATACAGGGGATTGGTTACAGTATATGCCCCCCCTGCCCACTATGCCGATCACCCTCCCTGTGCACACCTGATTCACCCAGCTGCCTGGGCCCCCACAGTGCCGGCTTTCCTCCTCTCCTTCCCACAGGCAGTTGCAAGCACACAATAGAATCCTTCAGGATAGAGAGTGGGGGAAGAGTCTGATAATTTATGTCAAAATAACCAGTCCCTTTCCTGAATGAACACAATGTGTGATCGGTACTGATCACTCAGTGTGTTCATTCATAACTGAAGCATAGTAAACTGTTTTTTGTTTTTTGAAGGGGGCCCTTTCAGGTTGGCTGTATGGGGCCCTGTGGTTTTTAACAGCAGCCCTGCCCCCTGTATTCTACACCCCCACTTCTCTACATTCTTAATGCAGCTGAAGCATACAATTAATACAATTCTTGTGAAAGCTACATTACTCAAGCCTGTGCTTATGTGATTGAGAGATCCCTTTAAATCAAAATGAAATAATGAGGTGTATTAATGCTTTACTTCAAATGTATTTAGAGCAACAGGTGTCTGAGCGTTCCAGATGGACTCGGGCGATGTCGGTGTACAAGAAACAAGGTGTCGGCTGAGGAGGTGTTAAGTTGTTGAGTAATTTATGTTGTGAGACACAACTGCCGGTCTGCGGGTGAGAGAAGTGGCTGTGACAGGATCTGGCAGATTTACTGCCCATTCTCGTGTAGAACTGAGGAAAGGGTGCTGAGAAATAGTACGTCATTTTATTCATGATGTAATCAAGTTTATTCAGTAGGGCAGTGCTTTGGACTGTAATAACAGAGATAGGTCGAGTTTCATTGCCTATTCCAACAAGATTTTGGTTGATATGAGCTCCTTTTACAAATGTCACCAAAGCTTTTAATGAAAGGAAAAAATTATAGGTATATCCTGCAGGAAGATAAAGCTACCAAGCCAACATGGCTGTGTCAAAGATTTAAGGGGTTATGTACATTTAAAGTAGTTGTAAACTCACACATATTTAGTGAAGTGACTGGTCTCAGGTAATACACAAAGATGAAACAATTCCTCCTAAACAAGTTGTACCTGTTTATCTATAGCCATATATCCCCTACATCCATTCAAAGAGCAGAATTTACACAGGATCTCACAGCTCTGAAAATCAGGGGTGGAGAGCTGATGTTATACTCAGTGAGGAGAGCTCTGAGAGCTGGTTGGAGGGAAGAGATACACCCACCTTCAGACATCTTGCAGGAACTGAGCTGAGGCTGTCAATCAGCTGTAGCTCCCTCCCCTGTCACCATTTATCTCTTGGTGTCAGGAAAACTCATCAGAAGTGACTAATGCTGATAGCAGAGGAATGAGGCAGAAGAGAAAAATGACACTCACACAACACGCATTTCAGTATGCCCTTTTTTTGCATCCAAAACACACAGAAACTAGGTCATATGGTGGTCAATGTCATAGTTCACATCAGTGATTGCAGTTCCTAAGCGTTCCAGTAGAAAAAGTAGAACATGCTGCAATTTTCCTGCACAGAACTGTACTGAAAACAAATGGTCAAATGCATTAAAAATGCACTGAACGCACATGTCCCTATTTAAATTAAAGAAAAAAAAGGGGAAAAATGAACCGGAATGCATCACAAACGCACCAGAATGTACCAAAAACGCACATGCAGAAACACATCCAGAACGCATCTGAACTGTGTTTCTATGGTGTGAACTGGCCCTTAGGGGGAGATTTACTAAAAGTGGTGCACACAGAATCTGATTGGTGGATTGGTTACTATGCACAGCTGCAACAGATTCTGTGTGCACCACTTTTAGTAAATCTCCCCTTTTAGTGCTCTGGATTGGGACAAGCGCACATTATAGAGCAGGGGTCTCCAAACTTTCTAAACAAAAGTCCAGTTTACTGTCCTTTAGACTTCAGAGGGGGCCAGACTGTGGCCATGGGGAGTAGAAAAGACCCAGACGTCAGTGGGAATAAACCATGCCCCTTCTTTGGTGTCATTGGGAGGAATTGTGCCCCATCATTGATGTCATTGGCCCCAATGTTGGTGTCATTGTGAGTAATTGTGCATCATAATTGGTGTCAGTGGAAGGAGTTATGCCCCATTGTTGGTATCAGTGGATGAAACAGTGCCCCAAGGGCAGGATAAAAGCAATCAAACGGTCACATCCAGGCTGCAGTTTGGAGATCACTGCTATAGAGTGATATGATTTGTGCATATTTAATGTATGAGGATTACATCCACTTCAATCTACATTTATAAGCCCAGCTCCAGTTAAAACATTTTTAGGATAGATTTTATTCTAAAATTTTGTTTAGGATAGAGTGGAGGAAGGTTAGAGCTTCTACTAACTTTTTACTACTGTTTGTCTCTGCATTTGGAAAATGTCTCCCTATTTCTTCTCTACTTAATGAGTGTCACATAGAACTGAAAGTGAGGTCAAAATCTCCTGTCTAATGAGCACCAGAACAGGAAGCAAGGGGAAATTCCACCACTGGGGGCATAGGAATAAAAACACATTTTCTGACAGGCAGCTTTAGAACATTTTGCAGGATTTTAAAGGCTCTTTGTGTCCCTTTAAGGGAGAGATCCCCTTACTTCATGTCAAGGTAATTGGTGTCAGACAGAACAAGAAGATACAGTATGTGTCTCCTATGGGAACACAAACTACATTTAATATACCAGAGTAATACCTCTTTAGCAGGGACACAAGCATCATTTAAACTCTACCCCTTTCCCACTCTATCCAAAACAAAAAATAAGGTTTGGCTGGAACTGGGATTCATATTCATACATGAGCGTTTTCGATAATTTCTCTATGCCCGACTGCACCTGACTACACTCAACATGCAGAACCCCTTTCTTTCTAATGATCCCTGTTCACATTTGTACGTTCAGTAATCCTACACTTTACGCCCTACGCTCAAAACTGTACATGAGATTTTTATGGCATATACAGGGATATTTGGCTCCATAGACTTTATTAGGAGTGTAAGCAGGTGCAGTCTATTTTCTCCACTGCAGGTGGCGCTCATCTGCAGCAGCAATACAGGTGGAGAAGGAAGTCGAGAGGAACGTAGTTTCTCTATGGTTTCCTTGGTCACAGGGAGGCAGCTATCTGATTGGTGACTTTGGTGGCCATCTTGGATCATGGCTTCCTAAATCCCTTTGGAAAGCCTCTAAGCCTGCCCCCCCCCCCTTCCCACGGCACAGCAACCAAAGGAAATGCCCTATATGAGTCCCTCAAACAGCTGTTACATTGGATTACCTGAAAATTCTGAGATAATGGCAATGTGGGTTTCCATGACCACTCAGATTTGAAAAATAGTCAGCCACAACTAATGTCACTCGTGGTACAATAGCACAGTACATTAATGTCTTTGTTCTGCATCTGCCAAGGTATCACCACTGTGAAAGACTGCACATACATCTACACCATCCCCAAGTTTAGTAGGTTAGTTCCTATTTTCAGATCCTAGAATTACTGTAATAAAGTTAAATGTTAGCATGACAAAGCCAGTCTAGTAAAACTTGGGCAAATTAAGAAATCTCAGTGTATATGTTGTTAAAGTTGGTGGCAAAGGCTCCTCACTGAATCTACTCAAGAATTATATTGCATGTATATATCACAGTCACACTATCACAGGAACTTGTAAGAGTTTGTTGTGTTACCATGGTGGCTTTTTTGTTAAGGGACTTCAGCAGATTGCCATATAATGATGTAATAAATTTTTTGTCTCTAATGACCAAATGATGATGAATAATTTTCTACCACATTAACTGATGGATTCTGTAAATTACAAAGAAAATTGTAATCAGGGCTCATTTCCTTTTACTTTTACAAGAACCCGCTATACAAACCTTGGACTGTCCAAGGTGACCTGAAAAGTGCAACATTCATTATCGCATTAATGGCCAACAATAAAGTATTGTATAGTTAAAGTCTAAGTAAAGAAGCAAATTCGGGCAGCTGTAAAAATCATTGTTAAGTCCGTAGATGAGGGGAATCTAAAGGTTTAATTAGAGCAGAACTAGTTTTGGAAAATATAGGAAAGGGTTCGAAACCCTGTTGGCCATTCTTAATGTTTGTTATGGAGACCATTGTCTAAATCTAAAATCAACATTTTTCGGTTATCACTAAAAGAGGAGTAGAAGGGTATCTTGTAATGGCATTAGAAAATGTGGGATTTCTTTCCTGTACTGGAAATTTCATCTCATGTCCTGTCACATCTCAGTGACACAAAGTGAAAAGGAATCTCCATGATAGGGAGACAGACAACAGAAATTCCTGACAAGGGTTCAAAACCTCCGTGTTTCGAACCTGAAAAAGTATTAGCTGGGGTTCTACTTACATTATGAATACTAACACATTTTTCTGAGAATCTTTACTCAACTGTTTGTTTATCAACCTTTAAAAACTGATAAGAGGCATGGAGGAGCTCAGCTATGAGGAAAGATTAGAGGAACTGAATTTATTATCTCTTGAGAAGAGGAGATTAAGGGGGGATATGATCAACATGTATAAATACATCAGTGGTTCATATAGTGAACTCGGTGTAGAGTTCTTCACCCTGAGGTCATCACAGAGGACAAGGGCGCACTCTTTACGTCTGGAAAAAAAGAAATTTAATCTCCAAACACGGAAAGGTTTCTTCACAGTGAGAGCTGTGAAAATCTGGAATAGACTCCCTCAAGAGTTGGTTCTGACCAGTTCAGTGGATTGCTTCAAAAAAGTCCTGGATTCTTTCTTAGATACACAGAATATAACTGGATACTAACATTTATAGGTAACGTTGATCCAGGGAATATCCGATTGCCTCTTGGGGGATCAGGAAGGAATTTTTTTCCCTGCAGGAGCAAATTGGATCATGCTTTGCTGTTTTTGTTTGTCTTCCTCTGGATCAACTGTGGGCATAGGATTATAACTTTCTTTTTCTATGGTTGAACTGGATGGACTTTTGTCTTTTTTCAGCCAGACTAACTATATAACCTAATATCCATCAGTATTCACAGTATTTACTGGAGCTAGGTTTTCTGTAAGTCATTTCTGAATTCATCACTGGTGCCTCCTCTCATTCATTTGTCTAAACCAGCCATTCTCAATCATTGTTCTGTGGAACCCTAGAGTTTCTCCAGTGGTTTCTAGGAATTCCTTGCGTTTTGGCTGATTGACCAACAATCTGATGGTGCCTTCATAGTTTCAGGGTCAATGCTACTTGGTAGAGACAACAGTACGATGCCAATTGGCATTCTTCCCAATGGCCAACAATGTAAGTGGCATTTTTCCTACTGCCCCAATGAATTTGTTTTTGCAGGGGTTCCCAGAAAACTGAACATGTATTTTAAGGGCTCAAAGGTTATGCAAGGGTGGTCTAAATTATGCTGTTTGTTGTCTGTTTCTGGATTTATTTAGTAAAACCAAACTTCGTCCTCACAAATGATAAATCCATTTTTATTTTGAGAAATTTTTTTTTTTCCTGAAGAATTTTTCGTATGAGCTCGTATCTTTTCAGACATGAAACTGCAGATGTCATTTGTGTTTTTGTGTAGTCCAGGGGATCATGAAAACTTCTAATATCTTAGTGGTTAAGTTGTTTCTTACAGTCGAGGGTTTGGGTATGCCATCATTTTGGTTCTTCGTGAATACCAGCAAGTCTGTTTAAACAACTAGAGAAAATAGGACTTTTGTGGAGATCATTATTTTCTCTAGTTTGTATCAAGATGCAATCTGGTTGCAGAGGGCAAAAATATTCTTTCCAGCTTTTTAAAGATGCCCCCTAGGGCCATCTGTGCCAATTCTGAGGGAATAATGCTTGAATAATGTCAGTTGTCGAAGACATGCTTGCAATGTCTTACTCCTTTCTTATATAATACCATTTGGAGGCAGATAACCATCACTTCTACTATTTAATTTCCGCCACAACCAAATAGATTTTTTTTATCACTAGATACAATAGTTGAACAACAGACAACACTTCAAACTATGAATGACTCTTAAAAAGACAACTTAAATGAAAGTTCTGGACCCCCCATGCATATTAACTGAACTAATGCTTAGGTTATTTTTAAGCTATGCTATGCATCTTACTTGCCTTTTCTTGACCCCAGACATAGTTATATCTGCATGTCTTTCACTTTAGATCAATGAATCATAGAGAATACTCTAATAATTACAGGGCAGAGGGGTTGCATAACTTTCTTTGTTTAAGAGGATGTGAATTAATAAAATAAGTCAATCTGTTTATGATACCATTTGTCTGCAGATGACATCTGGTTACAAAAAAGTCACAGTTTCATGGCTCCCTACCCTGGAAACAATCCTTTTTTCATTTTCTTTTTCCCTAGTGTAATAATCCCATAATTCCCAGAGGGTGCCAAAGGCCATAGAATACTTTGGAATTTTATTTTTCAAGCTAATTAACTTAATCCACATGAATGATGAATGTGAATTTCTCCAACAGCCCACCCAAGAGGTAATGTCGAAAATTTGCTAAGCAGGTACTCTTATGAGTTAACAGTGAATTTTTAAGGCAGGATATATATCACAAGTAAGCTCACAGAAAAAAAGGCTATGTGTTTTTAGAATCTTTTCAATAATGAGTTATCTTCAGCCCATACTGAAGATTACATATCCACATCAAGCAGCCAGTTGCCAATTTTTCATTAAAGTTTTGTGTTATTAGGAAGTGACAACTGTTGGAAGAAATAGAGGGGGGAATTTACTAAAACTGGAAGAGACAAAATCTGGAGCAGCTATACATAGTATCCAATAACCAATCAGGTTCTAACTTCAGCTTGGTCAGTTAAGCTTTGAAAAAGAAAGCTAGAAGCTGATTGGCTGCCATGCAAAGATGTTCCAGATTCTGTCTGCTCCAGTATTAGTAAATTCTCCTCACCGTGCTCAACAGCAAAGCTGGACACTTTCAGGGGCCAGGACACGAAAAAAAAAAAAACTTGGGCTCTCTTTTTTTGAAGCCTTTACAATCATTCTTAAAGTATACCTAACATAGCTGATATAAACAGCTAAAGCGCCCCCCTAAATTAAAGCCTAAGTTTAGGTAAAACTTTTTTGAACAAATTAGCACGCTTTTCAGGGGCATATGCACAAGGCTACACAAGATGGTAGGACAGCTCTGCACACCCCTGGCATTCTTTCTTTCCTTGCTGTGGCTATAAGCTCTTGATTGCTACACCGACAGCACCTCCCTTTACCAGATCGTCTCCTCCGCAGACCCCTTGCCATGGGACCGACCGAACGGGTTAAATTCAAGCCCCATGCTAATCTGAAGTCACAGCGCAAGATACAGCCTAAGATGGCGCCGACCACATCGGAAGTCGAAACCACGCAGCATTCACTGGGGGACTTGGAAGGCTCTGCAGAGAGCTCGCTACAGTTCCCCTCTGCCCTCCAGCCCACTCGAGCTGACCCTAATGCCAAACTCCTGAGCAAAATGCAGGACATAGTCCAAGAGGACCTCTCAGAGGCCTCCTGCAAGATCTCAGCAGAACTCCTAAAAGAAATTAAAGTGTTACTAAACCCACAACAGTAAAAGCAGTCTGTATATGCAGTAAAGCATGCTTGTTATACTCACTGTGGAACCTAATGGGTTAATCCTCTGCATTGTGTAAAAAGGCCATATGATCTTTTTTTTCTCTGCCACTCCTCTTGTTCAGATGTTCACCTGATAAGACAGACTGAACCCATAGCCACGTGCACATTCTCAGTTATTATTTTATTATTATTATACAGTATTTATAAAGCGCCAACAGTTCGCTCAGCACTGTACATTACAATGGGAGACAGAACATGCGACAGTACAATAAAAATACAATGCGATACACGAGGGGTTCGAGGGCCCTGCTCCTTGGAGCTTACAATCTAGGATTTTAGTGTGTATTGTTAGAGAGGTGTTTTTTTTTCTTGGGAGGGTGCATGTGATCAGCACAGGGCCAATCGGCACTGTCCAGACAGAGGGTCAGGGGTTTTACATCCTCCTAGAGCAGAAAGAAAACTCCTCCTACAAGCTTTAACCAGTGCTCTGCTGAAGTCACAAGACTGCTATATACTGCTGATGAGAAAAGGTAATTAGCAGTTTATATTTACTAAAATAAATGCATTGCCGTGTTCTCTGTACTGTGGGAGACCAGATAGAGTGAATGCAGGGTCCTGGGTTTAGTAACACTTTAAGGAGTTGGGAGAACATACAACCCTCTTAGAACACAGGACAGATGATGTTACCATGGTACTTGATGGGCACAAGTCTGACATAGAACAACTTCAGGCTGAGCTTCACAATCTACAAAATAAGCTAAAAGATGCAGAGAACCGAGATCAGCGGAACAACATTCAGATCAGAGGCTTGCCCGAAGCCATCTTAGATCTTCAAGGTTCAGTCCTCTCTCTTCTGCAGCAGCTGTTTCCTGACCTCCCAGTAGATCGCCTAGAGGTGGACAGAGTCCACAGGGCACTGGCACGCCGACAACCTGATGGACCCCCTCGAGACATAGTTCTCAAGTTCCATTTCTACCAAACCAAGGAAAAGGTGTTGAAGGCAGCCAGGGAATCAATGCTCATTCCTACCAAGCCTTCTCCGATCTTTCCTAGATCATGCTGCTCAAAAGACACTCCATAAAACCCTTGCTTCAAGTCTTACCAAGCCATGCTGTTTGCTATAG